CTTGCCCACCTTCTTCGTTGGGAGAGAAACTTCGTTGTTGATTGCCATCCATAGTGTGTAATCAACGGATTGAATGAAGATTCTCCTTCTTTCTTTCCAATAAGAGTAATTTACTCCATTAAAGAGTGGTGGTCTTGTTAAAGAGTGTCCTTTGCTAAAAAATCATGTGCTCAACATTCTCAAAGGAAATATAGATCGTTCTCTTAACCCGTTAAGGCTTTTAAAGAGTTAGGCTATGATACCAATTGTTAGAATAAGTTCCCTTCACTAGAGGGGGTGAATAGTGAGGCACGAGAATGTTTATAAATTTTCGTGGAATAAAAATCGTAGGGATAAAGTAAAGAGCGGAATAAAAAAGCGTAAGGAAAGAACACATCGATTTTACCCTGGTTCACCACAATGTGTGGCTAGTCCAGCCTCCCGAGAGACTCTCTCGAGCTACACTACTTCCGTTAAACTTACGGGTGCTTAACAAACTGTTAAAACCTAAGAACTCGAGTCCCACGAGTCTCAATACACTTGCTCGGAGATACCGCACTCCAAGACTTCAACTCGAAGGAATATGCTCTTCCTTCGTACAACAAAGGGAAAAAACCTCCCTTAAAGTGTTCACAACACTTAACCACTCAAGTACAAAAAATATCTTAAAGAGTAGAATATGAGTAAATTAATTTAGATCAAGAACACACTCAATTCCTCAAGAATTTTGGCTCTAAAAAGCTATGTAAAAAGTTTATGGAATGATGCAATGTAAAGATATGAAATGTGTGAGTAATTGTTGTGAGAAGTAGACCCAAAAGACCCTTATTTATACCCAAAAAATGATGTATAACGGATGGGAGTTGATTTGAATTTAATGGCATGATTTGTGCAAATCAAATAAAAGTGGATCTGCAAGAAATTAGCCTACCCAGCGATGTATGAAACTACCCATAGCTGGTAAGCCATTTTTCCTTCAGTTTCAAAGACAATGGTCACCTACCCATGGATGGGTAAGAACATCCCATCCCTGGGTGGAGGTTGACTTTCAAACAAGGAAAGAATCAGCCTTAAATGCCTTAGAACGGTCATGCCTTCCCATGGATGGGTAATATCCTCCCATCGCAGGGAAGTCACTTACCCATTGATGGGTAATATCTCCCATCGCTGGGTGGCATGGTTCTAGAATCCGGGATCACTTACCCATGGATGTGTAATATCTCCCATCGCTGGGTGGCATGGTTCTGGAATCTGGGATCACATACCCATGGATGGATAATATCTACCATTGCTGGATTGATGGCTAGTCCAGAAACCTATGGTTTTTGCATGAGCCGTGGCCTAGCCAACCGATGCTAAAACCCGACCGAAAAATGCAAAGTTCTCCAAAATAAAAACCAAGTATTGGAAACTTTTATATAATGTATTTTATGTAGAAACCAAGTATAAAAACTTAAAAAGCACTTCATTAATGTAAAAACGACGGCTAGCTAAGTTTATGCCGTTTCACATGGTTTTCAACAAAAGACCAAAAACTAAAGGTGGTTTTTAACATGTTTTTGTTGGAGAACTGTTTGGATATTCCCAGAAGTAAAAACCAATCATAAAATATTAAAAACCACTTGATTGAATTAGACGCCAAAAACCAACGCCGATAACCAGTGCCGAATGCCGATAACCAACGCCAAAAAAAACAAAGGATATGGTTTTTGAAAACTAATGATTTGGAAAACCTTTAAATGTGTCCAAAAGCAAAAACCAAAGATAAAAACCCAAAAACCATTTGTCTAAAATTAATGCCAATAACCAATGCCGAAAATCGAATGCCATAGCCGAACGCCGATAACCGATGGTTATGGTTTTGGTTGGGCAAGAACCAAGGGTTTTAGAAACTTAAAACCATTTATGAAAACACTCATTTGATGCATGAAAAACATATTTTGTTTTGAGCCATGACTTAGAGAAATTGAATGAACTTGTTATAATAAAAACCTAAGTATTTAGACAATGTCTTCAAAACGCCAATCTCGTCGTCTTTCGAAACGTCAATGTCTTTCTTGTGCCTTTTGTTCCTTCGAAGAGCTTTTTCTATGACTTTGAATCTTTTCATTTTGTCTCATGTTTCCGACGGTTTGTTAGTATCAAAACCTGAACGCAAACAAGCATTGTCAACACATCAATGTGAAAATGCTTTCTAACATCATAGTCATCAAAATATTCATTAACAAATAGCTTCCTAGCATCGAGTATTAACACCCTAGCTTACCGTCATTCATCAAACAAAGATCTTGAATTTGTCAAAACATCATTTTTACTTTAAGAAATCATATTCATATTAATCATAATTGATTAGTATCAAAAATAGGATTCAATAATTCAAAATTCGGATTTTGGAAAAATATCAAGTTCCGGACGGTACCCGATACGATATCTCAGTATTGTGTCATGGTACTTGGGTACCGACCATCGTTAGTTACCGCTAGAGAAGCGGTGGTTAACAGTAGACAACCTATTGTGGTCACGGTATAGCCTACCGTGCCGGCGGTACCTAGGTACCGTCTTGGAGGTAGGGTGATACTGTACTACGCGTAATTCTGAACAATGTCATGTTTAGCCTCGGACCAATTTTTGGAAATGTCATTAGTCACCAAACTTCAATTAAGTTATATAGAAATATTTTCCAAGGTTTATAGATCATTTTAGTGTTATTAGTTCGTAGTTTTAACAACAATTTCAAGGTTTATGATTCTTGGTTTTTCAAACATATCAAACATAAACTCAACCAAACGACCGTTTATGAACGTAGAACCGATCTATACGAAGGTTTTGGAAATTTTCTAGCAAAACTTCTGGAGGCGATTACTCCCAACTCCAGCGACCTCTCATCAAATTGACAGCACCACTGTGTTCTCCTCACTCAGAGCAACAAGATAGAAGAGAGAATTGATGGATTTGGTGAAGAAAGGAGGGAGTTGTGGTATGCTTATATAGTGGAGAAGGTGAGGAAGGTGACAACTTTGCTCCGTAATAGCTGACTTGATTGCCGATAGTTGAGGGGGCTGCGTCGATTGAAGATTCACATGACACTTTCCTGATTGGGACTAACTTTGGTCCCAATCGGGGTACACTTTTTGGTCCAACTTTTTCCGAATTGAAATCTATTTGCACCGTTGCGAACGAACAATTAAACTCTATGGAGCGATATAATTTGTATGTTTATTTGTAATACTTTTTCTGATATCATATTTTTGGATATTTGACTTTGACAGTCCAAATTGATTTAATTGATCTTTACTCAAAAAGGTTCTCATAATTAATTCATATTAATTGTTCTTATTATTTATTTCAATAAATCATTTCAAAGTTCACATGATAAAAAAAATCGTTTATTTATTCTTGATTTGGGTATGTACTCTCGTTCTCAATCAAGATTACACATAAAGTCAACATATTGGATTTATCTCTATGAGATTTATCCCGATTGTGATATTGGATATCAAAACATATTTCATTTCGGTTCAAAGCCCAACAATAATTTATTTTAATCAAAACAAATTTGATTAATTGAATAATTACTCATTAATAATTCTAGGGTATATTTTGGGGTTATACACGCTCTCTCCCATCCTTGGACTTGGACCTGCACTTTGACTTGTCACGTCCTTGGAGCCTCTACTCTTGCTTCTTCCTCTATTTTCTACCATAAGTACCTGTGAAACATCAACTTCCATCTCCTTTCTTCTAGGCTCTTCATTGAACATACTCTCTTTAATGACATCCAATGAAAGCACACCATCTGGAACTAAGTTGCTGATAGACACAACTAAGCTTTTCCAACTATCTGGTAAAGAACTCAATAGAAATAAAGCCTACAACTCATCATAAAAAATAATTTTCATCACAGCCAACTTGTTAATGATATCTTGAAAGTCACTAAGATGCTCAGAATCATACTTCCTTGGCTTCAACTTGAGACTAACAAGCCTCTTAATCAACGAGGCCTTGTAACGAGTTGTCTTTCTCTCATAAAGACCCTCCAATTTTCTCCACAACTCGAGTGGCTCAGTCTCTTGAGATACATGATTGAATATGTTAATATCAATCCACTGTATAATAGTTCCTAATGTCTTTCTCTTTAGTTTTTCTCATTCTTTATCCGTCATCTTTTCAGGTTTAGTGGACTCGTCATCTCTCTTGCTTTTATCCACATCAATTGGGTCAAACAAATCTTTACAATACAACAAATCTTCCATCATAGGACGCCAAATGGAATAATTAATTGGTTGATGTCAATTTAACCATAGAATTATTTTTCTGACTCCATATCTACGGCTTAAACCAATGCTCTGATACTAGATATGGGGGGAGAAGTAACAAGTAGGATACAACACCTACAAGGATTAACTTTAAGACAACCAACCAAACACACTTTACCCAATTCACCACAAACAATATACCAAGATTAATCACCAATAAAAATCAACTGCACATCAAGCAGCAACCATAACCAAATATGAAGAATAAAGATGCAAACGACACACGATTTTTATAAGAGGAAAACCCCTTCGATGTGAAGGATAAAAACCACGGGACTTATAGGGAGTCCGCCCTCTTCTTCTCTTATTTTGCAAATTAAGGGTAAAAACACCCAACTCAGTCTAAAGGATGTCGTCACAGCCCACCAACAACAACATACATAAGAGCTATCAACAATAGAGAAAGAAAAATCAGAGATACCACCACAAAAAATGCAGGTTGCACCAGTGCGATAACAGAGCGGTTGACGTGAAAATTAAACGGATTGAAGCCCTGTTTGTTGAGAACAATATCTAATAATTTCGGTTTAATCCAACAGTCAGATCTCTGGCAATGATCAAATTCGTGCAACTAGTCTGAAAAATCTGATTCAGATGTCTAACGAATGTGATTCCTCAATATAACATGGTCAGGTTTTTGAAAAGTTACCCCCCAATCAATATTGGGTTTAGACCCATCAGAGTCGTGTACCATATGCTCATGAGATCCCGACACATGATTCATTTACGCCTTCAATTGGTTTAACATGCATCCTTCATCTCTTAATTGTTGTCAATTTTGACCACACACGAATTTAAGAAAATGAAAATTGAGCATTGACATTGGAGAGAAACCATAGGAAAGTTAAAGAAATGAATAAATAAAATATAGGGATGGATGAAAAAAGAAAGTATAAAAAATTATGGAGTGATTTTTCTTTTTTACAGAATGGCGTTTTAATAAAAAAAAAACTCATAGCCCCTTTCCCTCAAACTCCACCCAACTGCACCCTGGAGTCTTTTTTAATCCAGTTACATGCATCCTGTCTCTTGTGTTTCTAGCATCAACCCATCTTCCCAACTGTGAATATACATTGGACAGCTCCACATAATGAGCCGGATTCCCTGCCTCAAGTTTTACTAGATTCTTCAACGCCACCTCTGCTAGCTCAACGTTAAAATGCAATCTGGAAGCCCCCAATAACGCCCCCCAAACAGCACCATCAGGCTTCATAGGCATTTCCTTGTTTATCAACTCCATGGTCTCGTCGAACAAGCCTGCGCGGCCTAGCAAGTCCACCATGCACGCGTAGTGCTCCACGCCGGGCCTGATTCTGTATTTCTTTTGCATCACGTCCCAAAAGAGATTCCTCCCTTCGTCTACCATGCCCGCGTGCCTGCACGCGGACAGGACACTGATGAAAGAGACTGAGTCAATCTTGACGCCGTCCTCTTCTTCCATGCACGAGAAGACAGACATCGCACGGCCCGCGTCCCCGTTCACGGAACAGGCGGCGAGCATCGCGTTCCAAGAAACCGTGTCCTTATTTCTCATCTCCAAAAATAGTCTCTCCGACATGTCGAGGCGACCACATTTCCCGTACATGTCGATGAGACTATTCCCGACAAGGGTGTTGGATAATAAGGCCTTCTTGATAGTGTAAGTGTGTATCCCCATTCCATGTTTTAAAAATGTAAGAGATGATATGGATGGCAAGATGGTAACGATGGTGACAATGTTAGGCTGGGGAGACGATAATACCATCATGCTACGGAACACGGACATTGCTTCCTTGGCACGTTCGTTTTGAACATATCCTGCAATCATTGTGTTCCAGGAGACCTCATCTTTCTCAAAAGGGACATTGTTGAAGAGGAATTCAGAAGATGAGAGTTTCCCACATTTGGCATAAAAGTCAACTAGAGCATTTGACACGTGACGCTCCGACTCGTACCCGTATTTGATCACTTGACCGTGGATATATGTCCCGTGATGAAAGTCACCCAACTTAGCACAAGCCGGGAGGACACCCACCATGGTTCCATTGTTTGGTTGCACCCCGCATAATCTCAACTCCGAAAACGTCTCTAGGGCATCATTGGACCTACCGGCCTGTGCAAGTCCATTTATCAAAGCGTTCCACGTCACGACCTCTTTGAATGGCATATTATTAAAGACACGTAGAGCATAACTGAATAAACAACACTTGGCATACATGGATACCAATGCAGTTCTGGTTGAAAGATCAGAGCCGATGTCTGCTTTAAGAGCGTAGCAGTGAACCGATTTACCTAGTTTTGTGGACATCAGTTCAGCACAAGCGGGTAAAATGCTTACTAGGGTCACGTTGTTTGGTGCCAAATTCTTGTGCTGCATATCTCGGAACAGGGAGAGTGCCTCATTGGGATGTCCGGATTGGGCAAATGCAGATATTACTGCAGACCAGGAAACTAAATCCCTTTTGTGTATCTGTCCAAACAGTTGTCTAGTCTTCTCCAATTCTCCACACTTTGCATACATCGTCATAAGAGAAGTGGCAACCATAATGTCTGAATCCATCCCCTCTTGGGTTGTGTAGTCATGAATCTCCTTACCTTTTTCTAGATCCCGCATCTCACCAGCTCCCATCAATGCACTCACTGCAGACACCTTGTTCATTTTCAAATTTTCTGTTTTCATGTCACCAAACAGGTTCAGAACTTCACAGAAGTTTCCAGTGTATGCATGACCAGCCATTATTGTACCCCACGAAACATCGTCTTTCACTCTCATCTGACTAAAGATTTGGTGAGCTACATCGCTATATCCACATTTTGAGTGCATATCAATCAACCCATTATAAACAGAAATGGGGAACTCCCTCCTGTAAACAAATCCATGAATGGAACTGCAAACCTTTACATCCATTAACTTGCAGACGGCAGGGAGCAGATTCAATAAGCTCACTGGGTTAGGCTTAACCCTGCAACTAAACTGCATGTACTTGAAGAAGTCTAATGCATCTGCGGGATCTGAAATCTGAGAAAGCCCTGAAATCATTGCATTCCAAGCAACCACATCCTTTTTGGGCATTTTATCAAACACCTTCCTGGCACTATTCAAATCGCCTAGTGTGCAATAAAAGGAGACAAGTCCGGTTCCAATAAAAACATCACATTCAAGGTTCCTCCTAGACACATCATTGTGAATACAAATACCCTTTTCCATGTTCAACGTCTGGGTGCAAGCTTTGAGCGCAAAGGTGAACGTATACTTGTCTGGTTGACAACCTCTCTCCGTCATTAAATCGAACATCTGGAGTGCTTCTTGATGCTGGTTGGCTGTGTTGTAAGCTCTGATCATTGAGTTCCATAAAATCCCAGGTGGGTTTTGAACAGAGTCGAAAACTAACCGTGATAAATGGGATCTTCCGAAGGAAGCGTAGAGATTGACGAGGCAGGTTTTGGTGCTGCATTTGAGCTCGAAGCCTGAGGTGATGAAGTGAGCATGAACTCGCAAGAGAGAATGGAGGTCTTTACAGGAAGAGAGGAGGAGGTGCTGGTGATCACAAGTTGGGCTAGGGAGAGAATGGAAGATTCTCACATGTCGGAATCCATGTCTGGTGATCATCTTTATGAGAAAGTTGGTCTTGATTTATTGAACTCCTCGTCCAAGTTCTTCATCGTTTGTGAGAAGAAAAAAAAGGCAGAGTCGATTTTGCCGCCAACCTCTTTAGAAAATGAAAGGCAAAAATTTTGCCCCCCATTTTAAAATCAAACGAGGATCAGGGGAGGCTTCATTTTCCAAACCCTAAAGTCATCCGCATTTGATATAATACTAGTGAGTGAGTACCCCACACATCTTCCCATTAATCTTTTTTATTTATCTTACATAGATTTTTTCATTATTTTTTTAACGTTTAAAATACTACAACTACCCCTACTTACATTATTTATTACATCTTTTCACCTTATTTAAAACACCCCACCCATTTTTATTAAGGATATTTTGGTAAATTTTCACCTTTTTTCAACTTTTCTTAAAAACCACAAAAAGTCAAAACGAAAATATCTCAGGGAGACGGAGGGAGTATTTTTTATGTTTATAAACTAATCAGAATTACTTATTAGTTATTTTTAACTTATAAGTCATTTGATAACATGTTTCTATGTGTTTATAAGCTGATTTATAAGTTGCTTATAAGCCAGAAATGTGTTGTCTACTTATTTTTAAATGTGTTTTTTCACCTTTTTTATAAGATTTTTTACAAATCTATCCTTCACCATTTATCAATATTCCTAATAACTTATCTATCATTTAGATAAAATAGTGATTTAAATTACTGTGCAATATAGAATAGCAATTTAGATGAAATAGTGATTTAAAATAGGTGTAATAGTTATTTAAACCTGTTTTAAAAGTACTAACCTAAAATATTTTATACTTTTTTTTAAAATTTATTTTGTTTAAAGATTGATATAGAAATTAAAAATAAAATTTAAATATTGAAAATTTACGTCATAAGGTTTATAAAACAATGAGTACAAAAATATTTTATTTTATCAAATAATCAACCAAAATATTTTAAATCACCGTCATGTTTCACACGGTGATCAAAGAGCCACGGGCGTCCCAAAAGTATGTGGCATGCATCCATAGGAATGATATCACACCATACGTCGTCCTTGTATGATTTGCCGATACTCAAAGAGATGAGACTTTGTGTATCAACACGCAAGCCCTTGCCATGATTCAACCATTGAATCGTGTAAGGCTTAGGATGTGGAGAGGTCTTCAAACACAGCTTGTCTACCATGGTTTTGGACGCCACATTGGTGCAACTTCCTCTATCAATGATAAGCGAACACACCTTCTTTTGGACCGTACAACATGTGTGAAAGATGTTTTCACGTTGCACTTGTTCTTCGGGGCAGGTTATAGCACTCAAAGTTCTTCGGATGACCAAGATTTCTCCTTCATCGGGGCCCACATACTCGTCTAGTTCTTCCACTTTTTCAACTTCTCCTTCAACCCAGGTTGGGTCAAAGTCTTCTTCATCACATTCGACAATGGCCATCACCTTTTTATTAGGACATTCATTGGCATAATGACCTCGTCCTTGGCATCGAAAGCAAACGGGTGCTTTCTTGGTGGGATCAGCCCGGGGTGTGAAAGAGGAGGAGGGGTTCTTTGAGGTAGATGGGGAGGAGGAGGAGGGGTTTGGGCCATGGGCAGTAGTGGGGTTTTTGGGGGTAGTATAAGGTAATTTTGGTGGAGGGTAAGGTGGTTTGGATGTGGAGGAGTAGGGCCATGGGGAAGGGGTGTTATTTTTGGAGAAACAGGCTTTGGATTTCTTATGTTGAGCTTCAACTTTGAGGGCCAACTTCGTGAGTTCTTCTAGAGATTCGTAACTTTGCAACTCCACCGTATTGGCTATTTGTAGGTTTAAGCCGAATAGGTAACGAACAAAGGTTTGTTTGTCATCTTCTTGCAAGTCACATCTCAGCAAGAGCTCTTCAAACTCCCGGTTGTATTCTTCAACGGACTTAGAACCTTGCCTAAGCGTTTGAAGCTTAGCAAAGTTCTCACGAACATATTCGGCGGGTAAAAACTTCTTCTTTAGAAGGGACCTCATCTTTACCCACGTGGACACCGGTTCCTTGTCGTTTCTTCTCCTCTTGGTGCACGTATTAGTCCACCAAGTTGATGCATACTTCCGGAATTTTAAGGCCACTATCTTGACCTTCCTTTCGTCGGAAACATCTTTGAAGTCAAAGACGTGTTCCACTATTTCTAGCCACTCGAGGAATTCGTCCGGGTCGTTCTTCCCTTCAAAAGTTGGAATGTCAACTTTGAAGTCAGAACCTTCATTGGCTTTAGGCTTCATGGTTCCACTAGAGCTAACGTCTTCTTCACGGTCACTTCCTTGGAGCTCGTTGAGTTTCATCTTCGTAAGCTTGGCAACCTCTTTAGCCAAGTACTCTACTTGGGCTTTCAAGGCTGTATTTGATGCAATGAGCTCTTCATGGGACATAGTTCGGGATTCATTTGACATGGTTGAAGGGGAGAGAGGGTGAGAGGGATTGTGGATTCTGGTCGTGGATTTGGAGGAAGAAAAGGGATGGAGTTTGAGCTTGAACAACGTACTTTTAGAGGCGTGTGAATGGTCCTAGAGGGATATGCAACACAAAGCTCTGATACCAAATGTTGGACCCAAGCTCAGGTTTTTATAAGCACAATCTTGTTAATGGCAGGGAAGGGGAGATAATCGATTGTCCAAAGTGGATAATCGATTATTAAGGGCTTCAGGTTCTTGGGCAATTTTCTGGGGATTTTCTGAGAAGGGAGATAATCGAATGACAGAAGGGTGTCAATCGATTATAGAGAGTTGCAGGTTTCTGGGAAAGGCTGATAATCGATTGTCTAAGAGTAATAATCAATTATTGAAGGTTACAGGTGTTTCACGAAGGGTGGTTAATCGATTACTAGTAGTGATAATCGATTATTTGGCAGCTCGGGACAGGAAAAGAGGTATTTCTTTGGGAAGGGGAACAAGCCAAGTTGGTGTTAAGGGATATTACACACCCTTATCTTAACTTGGGGTAGAGTCTAGCATTCAAATAAGATATAACACACTTATTTAAATAACTAGAACCTAAAACTCACACTCAAGAGAACCACTCTTAAGATATAGAATTAGGAATTTGGAATGAAACACACAAGTGAATCACTTTGATTAAAATGGAATATAATGTGTTCCTTACAAAGGCCTATGGCCAAAATATATATAGCAAAATAAGGGAGACTACCAAGTCTCTTATTCACACAAATTAAAGAAATTAATGGCCACTTGTTGATGTTCCTTTAGTGGGGAAAACACAGGGATTATTGTACTTGTAGGGAAGGATTTTTGTCCATTAATGGTGGGAGGGAATATGTGAATATAATTCACAATTGATTGGCTTAGGTGGGGCTGTTTTGGACAGGAGAAAAGGGGTGGGGTAGCAGGTTATTTGGAGGTATTTCCTGGGCTGGATATGGGGTAAAAACATGGGGGGTTGAAGGGTGTGGGTGTGGGTCAAGGTGTCTTGGATTTTATGGCTGTTTGTTTAGCCAAGTTGAGGTGTAAGGGAGTGGTATTGGCAGGGTTGTGGCATGGGGTTTTTGGCCGGGGATGAAGGAAAAATAAATGTAGTTTTGGGTTTACTATTTTGGATATTTTGGGGTTTGGATTGGATGAGAATGGCTGGGCTTTTTAAGTTGGAGTTGGGCTCAGGGAAATTATAGCTATGTGGCGGGTTTTAGGATTGATAAGTTTGGTCCAAAAGGAATCTTAACACTTAGCCATTATTCCGTTAATTTGTTTAACGACTTTAGAGTCATTGGTAGTTGCCCGGGGTATATCACGGCATGTTTTTTTGGAGCCGGATGGTTCCGGTTGAGTCTCCGGAACCGAATCTCGCTCGACGTACCCCGATTGTTGCGTCTCGAACATCAGCGCATGATTCCCGAATTCTTTGAAATACCACATCGCCGACTCGTGAGGCTCGAGATTGTCGGGAAAGAAGCCGGAGCCGGAAGGATTCTTGTTCAAAAGAGAGTTGGAGATTTGGATAATTGAAGAATCTGAAGAAGATTGAAGATTGAAGGTGTGAGAATGGGAGGGGGGATTTGAGATTTATAAAAAAAATTATTTAATTTTTCTTTTTTTTGGGTTTGAACGGCTAAATTAGCCGTTAGGGGGGAGGGGATCAGCGTCAAACGAATGACGTGTCATGAATGACGCCCGAAACATGCCGCAGGGGGAGGTGTTTAACGCCGGTCGGGCGTGAAAACCGACGTAACGCCGACCGGCATTATGGGTATACCCACTGCCCTAAAATGTGGATATTTTACCTAAGCACAAACACACAGGTGACTCTCTACGGTGCACAAAAATCGAAGTGCCAGGCCATAGAATCAAATCGAAGCACATAAATGAGATATGAATAAGCGAGAAGAGGAGGAGGGGCACCACAAGCTTTTGGAATAGAAGACATAATTGCGCAAACTACTCTTTTCCAAGTTTTGCATATAATCAAACTTTATAGGTAAATTGTCTTTCAACATAGAGAACTTCTTGAATAAAAGTAAAAAATTATAAAAATATCAAAATAGGAGTCCTAAATTTTTTTAGACAAAAAAGAAGTTCACATCCACATTGTCACACTCCAACTGTCACACTATCACTTTCACACTTTCATCCGTCTTCACCAGCCACCAAAGTGCCACCGTCAATCGGAGCGGTTGACTGATCACATTGACATATTATATTGTGTTAGACGCCTTGCACACCTCCAGAGGGGGGTGAATAGAGGTGTTGTCGAAATGACCATTTTTTTCGCGCGGAAGCATTCTCGACAAATACTCGATCAAAACAAATGCACCACAAACAAATTTAAGTGAAAGATAAAAGCAATGAGCACACGATATATACTGGTTCGGCCTAAATGCCTACATCTAGTCCCCAAAGGAAATGAGCCTGAGCCTTCACTAACCCGTCAAACTTAACGGAGTTTTACAATACGTATACAACTCGAGAACTTGATTTTACAAGCCTATTATCCTACCACCGAAGCCTTGATTTCACAGGACTCAGGATTTCTTCCACCTAACGTTTGATTTCACAAACCGTTAAGATTTCTAACAGTTGGTGTAATCCCAACACCAAGAATACAAATCCCTTAGAAATAAAAGTAAGAAAACAAGCCACAACGGAATAATTCTTCCAACACGGAGTAGGTTGCTGCAAATACAATGAAGTGCAATAGAATATGGCAAAATCTCTCGAAGACTCAAGCAATGAGAATAAACTCAAGCATGAAAAGATTTAGCAATCAAAAAAATTACCTTACTTGGATATTAGAAGGGGGTTGAGTAGAATCTCTTAATATATTCAAAGGATATGTTCTTCAAAATGTTCTTGATGTTCTTCTAATGATAATAACAAGACAGGGGAGTTTATAGAAGTTAGGGAGCGGATAGGGATAAAAAACATTCAAAAAACTAGTCGTTTGAAAGTTGAAACTGTCAGTTTATTTGAATAAGTTTGCATTTATTCGACTAAGTCAGATGTTTTCGTACCCTTAAAGCATTTGCATTTAGTAGACTAAACTCACATTTACTAGACGAAATCAGTCTTCATTTAGTCAACTAAATTTAATTTTTTCGACTAAATTAGTCGACTTATTCAAATGTATTCGACTTATTTGAATAAACTAAAGGTTATTCGAATAGACGAGCAGCTTCTCCACACAAAGGCTGGTCTAAAAGGTGTTTTGAAGGTGGAATAATCAATGAATGAACCTTAGAGATTTCATATTCCTTAACACATATTCTAAGACCTAAAAGACTACCCAACTAAAGAAACGTCTTCGGTCTCGATCCTTTCACCGATGCTCATAGGTTTAGGGGAAGACGGTAGAATATCAAAACCCGAATCAACAAGTCCCTTCTTCACGGACGGATATGAACTTGTTGTAGCTTTGATTCTTAGCCTTGATGCACAATATGATGGTGATCTTTTGCCACATTTTTTTCATTATCAAAACCTAAAAGACAATGGGTAGAGGACATTGCAAATATATATTCATGATAGCACATTGTGTTAGAATAAGAGACTAACGCTAGAGGGGGGGTGAATAGCGTTTGATCAAAAATCGCAGGAATAAAAAATGAATAAACGAGAAGTAAAGAGAAGAGTAAGAGGCACACCGATTTTACCCTGGTTCACCACAACTTGTGGCTAATCCAGCCTCCCGGCAGACTCTCTCGAGCTACACTACTACCTCTTTAAGCTTAACGGTGCTTAACAAACCTGTACAATTTGAGAATTCGAGTCACACGAACCTCAACGAACCTTCGAAGGAAACAGCCCTTCCTTCGAACAACAAGAGAAATACCTTCTCTTGTCAAGTGTTTAAGAACACTAAAAACACTCAAGAACAATCCTCTCTTTTAGAGTGGATAATGAGTAAACTAAGAACGCTCAAGAACACAACACAAGCTTCACAAAAAATGGCTCTCAAAAGCTATGAATAATTGAAGAATGATTTGCAATGAAAGAGTAGGAGTTGTGAAGTAATGTGATGTGTAAAACAGACCCAAACACCCCATTTTATAGTAGAAAAATAGGCTCTAACGGACCAAAGTATTTAAGGGGTGATTGGCACAATTTGTGGGATTTGATGAAAATTGGATCTGTTGAAATTCACCCAGACAGCGCTGTCCTAGGCTTGGACATCGCTGTTCTAGGCTTGCGTTTTGAAAAATGGGAAGCAACGGTCATGCCAACAGCGATGTCTAAAATCCCTACATCGCTATTTTGGCTGTTGACTTCCAAACAAGGAAAGTTTTAGCCTTAAATTCCTTCCAACGGTTAGGTCTCTACATCGATGTTCCATACTAGAACATCGCTGTTTAGGTCTGCCTTTGAAGATGGAAGTTTGGCCTGACAGCGCTGTTTCTGGGTCAACATCGCTGTCCAAAAACTTTCTGCCAATGCACAATATCTTTGGCTTAGGTTGGACAGCGATGTAGGGAAGCCTACATCGCTGTTCCAGAAGATTCTGGAAATCCAACCTTGGCTCAACAGCGATGTCTAATGTCCAACATCGTTGTTGGAGGACTTAACGCCAAACCATGTTTTTAGCTACCCAAGCCAGACAGCGCTGTTGGTTACCTCAACATCGCCGTTGGGCTGGTTTAGCCAGACCCATGGTTGGTTTAGTCACGCCGTTAGCCGATGTCAAAAACACAAGTTCTCCAAAGTAAAAACCAAGTATGGAAAACATTTATTTATTGCATTTTGCTAAGAAATAGTGTAAAACATTTTAAAAACCACGTCATTTAGTTGAAAACCACGACTAACCAAGTTCGTGCCATTTCGCATGGTTTTCACTAAACGACCAAAAATGGAAAGTGGTTTTTGAGGCGTTTTTGTTGGAGAACTATTTAAATGTGCCCAGAAGTAAAAACCAATCATTAAAAGTTGAAAACCACTTGGTCGGTTCGAACGCCAAAAACCAACGCCGATAACCGAAAGCCGAATGCTGGTTTCTGAAGACCGAACGCCGGATGGCTTGGTTTTTGGTTTGGGCGAACTCCAAGTGTTTTCAGACAGGTTTAAGACTTAAGAAAATCATTTTGAGTATGCAAAAAATATTTTGATGAAATGAGCCTAGAGAGCCATGTTTTGACGGTTTGTGCCGGTCTTGATCACATTAAAACCGACACAATATAATTCTAAGTCTTCGTTCTTGATTCTTGGTTCTGGGTTCTCAGTTCATCATGCCATGTTCCTTCGCCTTGGTTTTGCTCAGTTTAACCTTGTTATTGTCACGGCGGTTTGGCATTATCAAAACCTGTCATATAACGAACACGGCTTAGTACGACATAGGCGTAAACCCGTGTTCCAACAATTTCCCCCTTTTTGATAATGGCAAAAAGTTCCCCCTTAATTTGTGCTTAAAAAAAGGAATTGTCATATTATAATCAAATGATCCCGTTTTTAGGGACGTTCCCCCTTAGTGTATGCATAACCCTTTTCTTCCCCCTTTTGACATTAACAAAAAGATAGAGGATAACTTTTATTTACTGAAAAAGGGAAATAGCAGAGTACAACGGAAGCATTAAAAAAACAGGATAATTTAAATAAAAGAGATAGAAATTCTAGGGGCGTCCTAGTCTTCGTCTTCGGTTTCCTCCTCGTCGTCGTCGTCGTCCATCTCATCACCATCAACAGCGTCGTCGAACCCGTCCTCGTCCAGGGAGCTTGACGGGTCGTAGGAGGCATCGTCTTCGTCCTCGTCACCGTACACCTGCCCAAAGAACGTTCCATGGTACGGTGGGGGGACGTAGTTAACGCGTTGGAAGTACGCGTTCATGGCGTACCCTTGGCGTTGGACCGCCTCGTCAAGTCTTTCAAGGTAGCCATCCATCCCATCAACTTTGAAGTGCAGCCGGTTGAGAGAGTCAGCAATGGAGGCAAGGTTGGCCCGGGTCTGGGGTTCGGCTAGGCCAGCAGCATAACGGGGCCGTGGCACGGCAGTGGCAGGTCCGGCGTTGTCCGACCGCTTCTTGAAGGTTTGGGTGCTGATCGCCCAAATCTTCGTGGCCTTTGTGAGTGGGCCAACGGTGGTGGTCACCTTGAACCGTTCAAGGATGTCCATCACCACGAACGGGTACGGGAGGAAGTGATCGTGGTCGGTGGACGCGGCAATCGCCATGTTGATCATGACAAACTTTGCCCAATTGATTGGGGCCGAGTGCATGATCGCATGGATGAGTTTGAGGTCTTCACCGGACATGATGGTGTGGTCGTGCTTCCTGGGTTTGATGATCCGGGAGACGATGTAGAGAAGAAGACGGCCTTCGGAGTTAGCGGAGTGGATGGTTGGGCGGCCCGAGGCATGGCGGATGAGCTCGGTGATGCCAAGCTCGTTGAGGATAAGGCCCTCGTTGTTGAGCACCCAGTCCTCTCCGCCATAGAGGGAAACGCCGTTGCCTTGGTAGGGGAGGCCGGCGATGCGCCCAAGCTGCTCAATTGAAAGTTCTATCGGCGTGCTCTTGACAAGAGAATAGAGCACGTCGCCCTCACGCCGGAGGTTGGAGTAGAAGACCCGAATCAGCGCCGGGTTGATCTCCTTCCGAGCCCGGGAGACGAAGGGCCAAAGGCCGGCCTGATGAAGCTGCGCGTCGAGGTCGTCGTAGCCCTGCAGCTCCGGGTAGCGCTCCGGGATGATCCGTGGAGGAGCCACAACCCGTTTAGAGAAGAAAGTGAGGAAACGGGTGCGTTCCTCCTCGGAATCAAACCAAAGGTATGACCCGTCACCATAGTAAAGGCGTTCCTCGGTTGATGTCGTAGGCGCCCGGGATTTGGACTTTGATTTCCCGGAGGTGGCAGCCCTGCTCTTGTCCTTGCCCATGATAAGAAAACTCAAGAGAAAAGAGTAGAGATGATGAAATAAGCAAAGATGTTGAAGAGAATTGTTTTTGTGTGTGTAAAAGTGAAGAGAGGAGGTCCCAATTTATAGAGAAAGAGGTCTCCAACGTCCAGATTTTCAAAAATATGGCTGTTGGATCAATTAATGCTGGTGCCAACGGATATTTTTTTTTGAAAAATTTATCCAGAAAAGCGATGGTCCAAAGGCTACATCGCTGTTGGGCCTCTGGACAGCGCTGTTATGCGTCAAGTTTTAAAAACAAGTGTTAAAAGGACAGCGATGTTCCAAATCATTCTGGAATTGTGTAAGGGGTTGAACCCATTAAAACAGCGCTGTTGGGTTTCTCTACATCGCTGTTTTACGATAGAAAAAAATTTGTAAAAGGGGACATCGATGTTAAAAGTGGGACATCGCTGTTTAAAAAGTTTCTGGTTTTGGTTGAAAACAAGGTGTTTTTGGTGGACAGCGATGTTTTAGGTTGGAACAGCGATGTTCAAAAAGTTTCTGGAAAGTGAAGAGTAAGGGACTCCCTGGGACAGCGCTGTTGGCACAAACTGGTTGACGGTGTTTCTCTCAACAGCGCTGTTTGGTCTCCTGGACAGCGCTGTTTGCATGGTTCCCCCTGATTTCATGAACAGGGTACCTGCAAAAAAGAAAACAAATTCTCCGACGCTCAAGTTAGTAAGCGCTTAATAAGTTTAGATGCATAACTTAGATCATCGTGGAGTCAAGGATTCCGAGTTCACTTCGAATGCGGAAGAACGACTCTTTCTCTAAAGGTTTTGTGAAAATGTCGGCTAATTGGTTGTGTGTTTCAACAAACTCAATTTCGACATCACCTTTGAGAACATGATCTCT